AGAAATCATGAAATCAGCCCAAACAACAATGATATGATGCATCGATAATGAACAATAGAGACTGAGATAAAATAAATAAGTAAACTGTGACTGAGTACCAAACAATAATTTAGTAGATAATTCAACATGTACACGACCTCTGTGGGTCCCAACAGTACCAACATATAGCCTAAACATGGTTTCTAACATGACTTACAGTCAAATTTCCACAACACATAGAGAGCATATAGCTAACAACAAGTTATTCAACTTTACAGTCTCACGGGATGGACCAAGTCACAATCCCCTCGGTGCACGCCCACACGCCCATCACCTAGCATGTGCATCACCTCCAAAGTAATCATATGATACAAAAATCGGGAGTTTCATACCCTCAGGACTAGATTTAAAACTGTTACTTACCTAAACCCGTATAATTCTTTATTCCGCTATGCCCTTGCCACGAGAATTGGTCTCCGAAAGCCTCGTATCTAGCCACAATTAATTTGATTCAGTCAATACAAATTATTATATTTAATTCCATAAGGAAATACTAATTTTCCAATAAAATTCAAAATTAACTCAAAAATCGTCTGTGGGGCCCACATCTCGGAACCCGACAAAAGTTATAGAATATGAATGCCCATCCAACCACGAGTCCAACAATATAAATTTTACCAAAATCCGACATCAACTCCACCCTTAAATCTTCAATTAAAGTCTATGAAGATTTCTACCATTTTCAACCCAATCTTTACCCATTTGAACTTAACAATCTTTTCATAACCTTATTGGTATGTATACATAATACTCTTACACCCAAGAATCATACTATTAATCACTCATCTTTACTCAAAACCCGAAATTGAAGAATTGAGGAAAGAAATTCTTACCTTTTTGAAGCCCTAGCAAGATCCTTGTAAAATCTTCAAACCTTGAACAAGAATTGATAGATAAATGACTAAGTCTTCACCTTCTCTTTCTAAAATGCTCTCGCCTCTCTCTAAAATATCAGATGAAACCCTTTAAAATGACCCTCAATAGTGTTTTATAAGAATGGGGTCGGGTTTATAAAACCAGAAAAATGAAGCTCCGAAACAGGTTATGCGTTTGCATATGCGACCGCATAATGGTTATACGGACCGCATAATCAGTGTCCAATACTGGCAAATATCTGTCTGTGTATGCGGTCACTATGCGGCCCTGCATACCTGTTCTGCGGTCGTATAATGATCGCAGAACAGTTATGCAGTCGCATAGTCGACCGCAGATTTCATCCAAACTGGCCCTCTTCTGCCTCACTTATGCGGCTCGCAGAATGATTATGCGGTCGCATAATGGACCGCAGAAATGCGTTTTTCCACCAAAAATATTTTTTTACTTTCCGGTGCATTGTTCAACCCAAAAAGTCCGAGCCGCGGTCTATCTCTACACCACAAAACCTTAATTTTCTTAGCAAAAATTCTCCGAGTCACTACACATACGTTAACATCTAGACAACCTTTTTAACTAAATTTCGAAACCTTGGAACTAGGTATTCTAGATTATTCAAAAATCTCACCGGACCCGAACCAATTACCC